AGAAAATCGCCTTTCTTCATTCTTGTCGGCTGTACCAGAGACAGTACCAGCTTATGTGAGAGACTGGAAGCGAGAGCGAGTGTGGACTGGGCGCGAGTGAGAAGAACAACGTTGTAAAAACGTTTTTAGGATGCATCCGAACCAAGTTGATAATAAATTAGTTCAGTTTTAAGCTTGGTTTCTATGGAAAGGGTTAACAATTTAGTGACCGCCGACGTGACTAAAGTATTGTAGAGTCAAGCTAAAAATTAAGACCGAGAAAATGGAGGAAATTAAGCTAGAAGTACAATCACTATTCTACTGGTCGAGTGTTGACGCCATTGAGCGTGCATTCGAATTCTTCAAAGTGAAATTTGAAGGCGTCAAATCCCTTGTAGTCGTTAAAGGACTCTGTACTTCGCTAATGGAGCTAATGGAGTTGAACCAGAAGAAAGAGCATCGTATTTGAAGGACGTGAAGGATTTAATAGAGGAGACACCAGCAACCATGACAACAAGGAGGAACAAGAGTCATTCTCCTCAAGTGATGAAGATATTGGGTGCATACCTGATCTTGAAATGCAGTTAATTCTTACTGATAAAGAACCTGTTCTGAAGCGTGGGTGAGTATACCATTCGGCCTCAAAAATGCCGCTGCGAACTTTCAACGGTTCATGGAGCGATGCCTAGACGGTCTGCGTGACAAGATTGTCATACCCTACCTTGATGACGTCATAGTCTTTAGCCGTACTTTTGAGGAACATGCGGAACATCTTAGAACTGTGCTACGTAGGCTGAGAGAGCACGGTGTAAAGCTCAAGCCGAAGAAATATCACATGTTTAAGTCTAAAGTGAGATTTTTGGGAAGGACCGTGTCTAAAGATGGATACCGAATGAACCCCAATAACGTTAAAGTTAAAGGAACTCCAACCCAACACCATCGGGGAGGTTCGTCAGGTTTCAGGATTGCTGAGCTACTACCGACGGTACATTAAGGACTTTGCTCGATTAGCAAAACCCCTATACGATTTCATACCGTTGGGAAAAGAAAGTACACTCAGGAAGAGCACAGGGCAAAGATCTTCTAAGGAACCTGTTTGTTGGACAAGTGAGCATCAATCTGTTCTTGAAACATTGATAGACAAGATCACCAACTCACCCATCATGGCGTATCCAGACTTCACGAAACCATACATTTTAACGACAGATGCTAGCCAGGAAGGGCTAGGAGCCGTTTTGTACCAAAGACAGGACGGTATGACTAGAGTGATCGCGTATGGATCTCGTGGTCTTACGAAAGCCGAAAAGGACTACAGCATGCATGCTGGCAAACTCATTGCACTCAAATGAGCTATTACGGAACACTAAAGGGAATATCTTTACCATTCGCAAGAATTCAATGTGTACACAGACAATAATCCATTAACGTACATCTTGAGTACAGCAAAGCTCAACGCAACTTGTCTACGATGGGTGAATGAATTAGCGGACTTTAACTTTCAGGTACAATATCGCCCTGGCAAGTCGAATGCAGACGCCCATGCCTTGTCAAGAATGCCCTTACACATTGATGAGTATATGAACACCTGTACTAAAACAATCTGCCAAGACACATTCAGCACTGTGATTACAACCACGCAGGATACCAACAACCCAACCAGTGCCTGGCTGTCCTCAATTACCGTTTCACCATGTCTAGAGGAGGAATGCTTGGGTAGTGACTTTCAATCTGTCTCTGCCCAAGAACTTGCGTTCGCTCAACGTCAGACCACTACTATTGGTCGAATTCTTCATTTTAAGGACACTAACACACGTCCAAGCCAAAAGCAAAGACAGGAATAGACTACCACAGTCAAGCAAATGCTGCGAGAGTGTGACAAGATCCAGGTTGATAACGATGGTATCATATATCGTAAATCGGATTCAAGGAACCAAATCGTGTTACCAAAGAAGCTCCCACGGTCAGTTTATGCCAAAATCCATGACGAAATGGGACATTTTGTTGCAGAGAGAACACTTGGCATGGCTAGGGAAAGATTTTACTGGCCCTTTATGCACTCTGACATTACTCMCTATGTAACAAGAGTCTGCAAGTGTTTGAAACAGAGAAAACCAACTACGAGTACACGGGCCCCTCTGCAGCCCATCAACACAACGATGCCGTATGAACTTGTATCACTGGACTACCTTCATCGTGGCAAAGGTGTTGGTGGATATGAATATGTATTAGTGATTATCGATCATTTCACCCGATATGCCCAGGTTTACCCAACCAGGGATAAGACAGCTAAGACTACCRCACGGAAATTATTTGGCGACTACATCTTAAGGTTTGGATTTCCCCAAGCAATCCATCACGACCAGGGAGGAGAATTCGAAAACCAGCTATTCTATCATCTAGAGGAGCTAAGTGGAGTACGGCTTTCCCGAACAACTCCCTATCACCCTGAAGGGAACGGTCAAGTAGAGAGATTCAATAGGACATTGCTGTCAATGCTCCGCTCACTACCGGAAACACAGAAGTCCCGCTGGCCTAAGCACTTGAACAAGGTGGTACATGCCTATAATTCTATGCGACACGATTCTACTGGCTTTTCTCTATTCTTCTTGTTGTTTGGACGAACACCCAGACTACCTATCGATATAATGTTTGGTGTAGCGGGTGCGCAAGCTAACAAAAGTGCTGCAGCTGGAAAGAGACAGTACGACAAGAAAGTAAAGTACAACCAGCCACAAGAGGGAGATCGAGTGTTGATGCGCAACCTCTCTGAAAGAGAGCGTGTGCGCAAGCTAACGAGAGTGCTGCAGCTGGAAAGAGACAGTACGATAAGAAAGTAAAGTAGAACCAGCTACAAGAGGGAGATCGAGTGTTGGTGCGCAACCTCTCTGAAAGAGGTGGTACAGGAAAGTTGCAGTCTTACTGGGAGGATCATGTTCATGTTACTAAACAGCAGAGGAAAGGGCTGCCTGTATATGAAGTACTGCGTGAAAATGGTCAAGGGAGAGTCAGATTGTTACACAGGAATTTGTTACTTCCCTCTTCTTACCTACCGGTAGACCAGAAACCGACTAGTAAAAAGTGCAGCACAAAGCAACAGACTCAGAGGACAAGGACACGAAAAACGTCGGAGGAACACAAGAGCAAATTATTTCCAACTGGGAAAGGATGGGACAATGAGTCAGAAACAGACAACGACCAAGCTGAGTTCCCAGGATTCTCGCCCTTTGACCTCGAGGGTTTAAAGACACCAGATGAACAACCATAAAGTACCGAGCAACCAACTACCACAGATGCTGAAGACAGAAACCAGAATTTAATTCAAGAGCAAGCCTTCATGGATCCCCATGCGATGACGCAGCAAGAAGGACTAAGAAGATCCACAAGGCAACCTCAACCACGCAAGATCCTCACATATGATAAGTTGGGACAGCCATCATACAGCTACCAAGCCAACAGTATTAGCCTTGTACCTTACCAGTCTCCATACTACGCTGTCCCCAGATACCATAATACCAACTTTAATTGCTTACCTTGATTTCCGCAAGGAATGCTCCAAGCCTACTATGGACAACAACCATACCAAGGCTACATTCCACAGTATGTTGATTTTGCTCAATAAGTCCCTACCGCATCCAAGAACTGTGTCTCTAGAATGTACACCCATTGATGGTATTTACTGTTTTAAACTTTATTGTACAAACAAGACAAAGCAAGGAAAAAAAACAATCAAGTAAACATTAAGATCACAGGATCACTGTTAAGAAGACACAGAAACTGTCACGAAGTAGGAAGATAAGAGACATGATGAACCTTACTTGTTGCTGGCGCCACAGTTGTGAACATTGTTAATGAACTTTAGCTGATAGGTCTGATCACCCCATTGGTTAAACATGACTGTTACTATGGTACACCCGTTATTGTAGTAGCAAGAAAACAAAATGTCATTTAAATAGGATAGGTTTCTTGGCATTGTTGAGGACAACAATTAAAAGATCTAGGGGTGTATGTGAGAGACTGGAAGCGAGAGCGAGTGTGGATTGGGCGCGAGTGAGAAGAACAACGTTGTAAAAACGCTTTTAGGATGGATCCAAACCAAGTTGATAATAAATGAGTTCAGTTTTAATCCTGGTTTCTATGGAAAGGGTTACCACTTATAGTAMCTGCTTTTAGTTTTTATTATTTGCCTAGCCTTTATATGGAACTACAGTCACAGTCAGTAAGTCACTTCATTAGGACTTAATCTGGTAATGCATGCACTTGACGTTGTATGGTCGCCCCAATGGGACAAAAGGTTTATAAACTGCTTATGAGTTTTGTTCAATATACATACAGATTATCACATGTTAAGAACTTGATATCGTTTTTATTCACGAGTTTTTCCGTATCATATCGCGAACGAGCGAGTCCTCGAGCTTATTATTGTTTATTACACATTTAGGCTCGATATATAACACACACAAAATGTTTTATTRTCTTAAATATCCTTAAYCGACTTACRCCATTTCAAAATGTTAAAGAATTATACGTTTCCAATTCAATATCATTCAAGATATTAAAGCTTAATTAAAAATGCAAGAAGCACAAAATTCATCTTGAATTTGATAGAAATAAACACTAAATAGAAATTTATCTCGTCACTCTTGACTACTACCGTAGTCAAGTTACAGTTACAGTTTACCGCGAAGTGATATCGTATCACTTCACTGATATGGTTTTTATTCACGGTTTTATTTCACGGATATCGAGCTTAAATGTGTAATAAATACGTTTATCTAAATTGGGCTCCTTGTAGCTGCTTACGTTTTAGGAACGAGATCTGTAGTGTCTGGGATACCTGTGGTTAATATTATCATGTTGGGTTCCCTGTGTGTAAAAAAGAGAGGACCGCCATTAAAAGCACGTTGCGACAACGTTCTCTGTGTGTTAGTAGTCTTTTTAAATCCGGTTCAATCCGAGAAGAAATACAACAATTGGCGACGAGGACAAAAAGATGTACTGATTAGATTCGTTCTTAAAGGAAGATGGCAAAAGAGCTTGAATTTGGAAGTATTAAACCGTTTGATTCGTCAGGAGACCCGACCAGCGTAGCTCCTCGGTGGAAAAGATGGAAAAGGTCTTTCGAATATTTCATCGTAGGTAAAGGGGTGAAAGATGACGATCAAAAGCAAGCTTTGCTTCCACACTGTGCTGGAGAATCTGTGCAGACCATTTTTGAGGGATTAGATGATCTTGAAGTTGGCGAAGGTGAGACAAAATACAAGAAAACAATGAAGGTACTTGACGACTACTTTACTCCTAAAGCAAACATTCCATATGAAAGACACCTATTTAGAAACATTAAGCAAGAAATATCGGAAACCATCGACCAGTTCGTATCAAGATTGAGAATCCAAGCACTGAACTGCGATTTTGGAGACGCCATAGATGAAAATATAAGAGATCAAATTATTGACAAATGCAATTCTCCCCAACTGAGGACAAAGTTGCTTGCAAAAGGAACTGACCTAGAGTTGAAGGAGACTCAAGACATGGCTAGAGCTATGGAGACAGCTCAAGTACAGGCCAGAAAGATCGAACAAGACTTTAAAGGTGAGGTCAATGTTGTTAATACAAGAGACGAGAGAAAACAGAAGAGACCTAGTGGAAGACCATCAAAAATGGTATATTACCGTTGTGGGAAAGAGGGCCATCTTAGCCATGATTTGAAATGCCCAGCACGGAATGCAACCTGTAATAAGTGTAAAAAAGTTGGTCATTTTGGAAAGGTCTGCAAAACCAAAACCCTAAATCAACAGCAGCAGCAAAAACCTGAAGTAAAAAGAAGGAATGGTGAAAAATTGAATGAAGTTGAGAAAAGGGAGTACAATTTTAGCATCAATCTGTGGGATAATGAACACTTTGGCGGAAATATCATTACTGCTATAATCGGTGGAGTCAAGGTGGATAGAGTCCTGGTGGATTCAGGTGCTACTTGCAATATCATCGACAAGGAAACATGGGAATACTTAAAGAAGAACAGAGTAGTTTGCACAAGCAATAAATCACAGAAGTCACTATATCCCTATGGTTCTAAAACACCTCTGAAAGTCCTAGGAGAGTTCAAGTCAATTGTAAGTGTCAATAATGTTGAGAAAGAGACAGATTTTGTTGTTGTTGATACAGAGGGGAGACCAATCCTGGGTTGTAGGACAAGTGAAGATCTGGGTGTGTTGAAAATCAATACAGTTAATGCAATGACAGTAGATGACATAGTCAGAGAGTTCCCAGAATGTTTTAAAGGGGTTGGGAAACTTAACAATTATCAAGCCAAGATACATGTGGACCCAAATGTTAAACCAGTGGCACAACAGTACCGGAGACTTCCCTTCAGTATGAGAGAGAAAGTTGAAGTCAAGTTGGAAGAGTTAGTTAACATGGATATCATAGAGGAAGTACAAGGTCCTACTCCCTGGGTAAGCCCTATTGTAGTGGTTCCCAAAGCAGATGGGGACATACGATTACGTGTCGATATGAGACAGGCAAATACGGCTATAATCAGGGAGAGGTACCCCATACCAACTATTGATGAAGTCTTGGAGCGCCTAAATGAGAGCACACTGTTTACAAAGTTAGACCTAAAGTGGGGGTTTCACCAGATCGAATTGGAGGCAGAGCCAAGGAAGATCACCACTTTTGCCACACACAAAGGGTTATTCCAGTACAAAAGGTTAATGTTTGGCATTAGTTCAGCCCCAGAAATGTATCAGCACATAATCCAACAAGTTCTAGCAGGGTGTGATGGTGCATCAAATATTGCAGATGACATTGGATTATGTATATATTGTACACGGTAAAGACCTACAAGATCATGACGTCAAGCTGAGGAATACCCTAAATAGATTAAAGGAGAGGGGACTAACACTGAGCAAGGAAAAATGCCAATTCAAAATGCCCAAGTTAACGTTCATGGGATACCTGCTGTCCCAGAAAGGCATTGGAACCACTGAAGAAAGAGCCAAGGCAGTAAAGCAGTTCAGAGCTCCAAGCACTGCGTCGGAGGTAAGAAGTTTCTTAGGCCTTGTTAACTTTAGTGCACGCTTCATACCTAACCTAGCGACCATAGCTGAACCCCTGAGAAAGCTCACAAGAAAGGAGGTGCCTTTCAAATCACTGAAGGAGAGTTTAGAAAAATCAGAGATTTTGTCATATTTTGACAAAAATGCCAAGACAAAGGTTATCACAGATGCCAGACCAGTGGGTGTGGGTGCAGTCCTTGTCCAAGAAAAGGACGGGGTAGACAGAGCGGTATGATATGCTAGCAGGAGCTTAACGGACGTAGAACGTCGCTACTCGCAGACAGAAAGCAATTGTATGGGCTTGCGAGAGGTTCAATGTGTACTTATTAGGAATAGTCTTTGAACTGCTAACAGATCATAAGCCCCTGGAGTACATTTATTCCGAAAGGTCAAAGGCTTCTGCCAGAGTAGAGAGGTGGGTTCTCAGGTTACAACCCTACCATTTTACAGTTAAGTACAATCCTGGGCCCAACAACATAGCAGATGCCCTGTCTCGACTTACAAAGGACGCTCTAATGAACAAGAGGAACAAGACGGAAGAGTATGTTTGTTTCGTAGCAGCTAATGCAACCCCAGCAGGCATAAGCATGGAAGAGATTAAGAAGGAATCTGCAGAAGACAAATAATTAATAGAGCTGCGAAAATGCATTCCCTCGGATGCGTGGGAGACCTGCCCTGCAGCTTACAAGTCTGTCAGACATGAACTCTGTGTTTGTGGACACTTGTTATTGAGAGGAACCAGACTAGTCATCCCAGCGAAATTGAGGAAGCAAGTTGTAGAGCTAGGCCGTGAGGGACACCAAGGGACAGTAAAGACTAAGCAACGCTTAAGGTCCAAAGTATGGTGGCCCGGACTTGACAAAGATGCAGAATCGAAGTGCAAGACATGCTATGAATGTCAACTAGTCAGTTTACCAAGTCCACCAGAACCTGTCAAGACCACAAAGCTGCCGACCGAACCGTGGCAGGATGTTGCAGCCGACCTGTTAGGCCCGATGCCAACAGGGGAACACTTGTTAGTTGTTGTAGACTATTTTACTCGTTTCTATGAAGTTGTGATTATGAACTCTGTTACAGCTAACAGTATTATCAAAGCACTGGAACCTATCTTCGCCAGATATGGTTATCCGCTGTCGATCAAAACTGATAATGGGCCCCAGTTTGTGGCAGAGACGTTTGAAACCTACTTAAAGCAGAATGGTATAGAGCACAGGAGGTCGACACCTTACTGGCCTCAAGCAAACGGGGAAGTGGAAAGACAAAACAGAAGCCTGCTGAAAGCTATGAAGATTGCCAAGTCTCAAGGAAAGGACTGGAGACAAGAAATCAACACCTATTTGTTAGCGTATAGGACAACGCCTCACTCGACAACCGGAACAAGTCCAGCGGAGCTGATGTTTGGGAGGAAGATTCATTCAAAGATTCCCGATATTCGTCGCATCAATAGCGAAACGTACCAAGAAGTAAGAGATAAGGATGCCGAAATGAAGCAGAAGAATAAAGATTACGTTGATGTGAAGAGGCATGCTAAGGAAAGTAGCATTAAAGTCGGTGACAAGATCCTCCTGGAGCAGACAAAACAGAATAAGTTAAGCACTAACTATGAACCTGTACCATATGAAGTCACTGGAAAATTTGGAAACCAAGTTGTTGTTAAGTCTCAGGATGGAGTTGAATACAAGCGCAACACATCACAAATGAAGCTCCTAAGGGAACAAAGGAGGTAGAGCCGGAGCTCGAAGGTACCAGAACTGGCCATAGAGAAAGCAACGCACATTGCAACTCCAGAGAATGAAGGAACTACAGTACAACAGAGGCCGAAAAGAGATCGGCGACCACCAGCATACGTCAAGGACTATGTGCTAGGAGAGTGACATTAGTCAGTTCTTGTTAATTAGTCTTCCCAAAAGGGGAGGRAATGTAGTGTCTGGGATACCTGTGGTTAATATTATCATGTTGGGATCCCTGTGTGTAAAAAAGAGAGGACCGCCATTAAAAGCACGTTGCGACAACGTTCTCTGTGTGTTAGTAGTATTTTTAAATCCGGTTCAATCCGAGTAGAAATACAACAAGATCGACCACTCGGAGTTTCATAATTGAGTAACAAATTTTACAGTCGGAAAGAGAAAATGTAAATTCCACTATTTTTATCATTCTCGCTTAGCCAATGTGAAGCGCTTGTAAAGGATCATGGTCCGGGTACGTTTGTCCACTGTCCAAGGTACTTTGCGCGCGATATCCTGCCTTGCTTTGATTGGCTGATGCACATTTCGAATTTGGGCGGCATTTTGGTTCAATTACATGGATTGTTCTTGGATAAATATGCTACTTTTTTGACAATAATGCCAAAGTAAAATCGCTGAAAATCATACCCTGTTCCAGAGCAAGATCGCTGAAAATCATACCCTGTTTCGGTATTGGGAAAATGGATACTCTGTTCCAGAGAGGAGAGAGCGTGATTTCATATACCCTGTCTCATAGCGAGCGCGATTTTATATACACTGTTCCAGAGAAGAATCGCTGAAAACCATACCCTGTTTGCGGCACGTACCCGTATAGCGAATATAGGAGAGTACCCCCGGGTACAAAATGATCAGAATCTGTAAAACGCTACTCCAGCAGAGTACCAGATACCTTAAACGTTGGAGAACTGAGCATTTAACGGAATTACAAGGTGGTCAACAGGCAACAACGACAGTTAAATTCATGTTAGATGATTAACAAATTAACATTATATACTGGTTAAATCGAGGCAATACTATGTTTTTACCATATTGATTTTTTTTCCAAGCGGGAATGGAGGGCAATCAAATCGAACTGATTTGATGTCTTAATCACCCTTAGGCTTAGAAATTGACAGGTATAAGCTCTTAATCATGGAAAGAGAAAAAGAATGAAGAAAGAAAAACACCAAAAAATAGAAAATAAAAATAAATGTAAAACTTTTCCAACCTGTAACACAGAGTTTCATATCTTCTTGTTTCTTTATTGTTGTTACATTAATAATCCTATTCTCAAGACCGAAACAGCACACTTTC